CTCGTTGACACAATGTCTCGCTAGTCTCGATGTTTTCCATCCATTCTGCTCTCCAGTTGACCGTCGGACCAAGCCAGGTTTTCGAGGATTTCAGAAGAAAAACTGTTCTTTGACTGGAGTAAAAACTTCAGTGTTCCCATCGTTCATGTACTGTTGAAGCAGTCTGCTTCTCTTCTCATATAACACAGTAAAAACAACGATTTTTTTCCCCCTCTTTTCTTTTGCTACTCCCTTCTCCAGATCTTTCAGATGCGCTGGTCCTGCAGCACTGAGGTCTGTCTCTGCCGCTGCTGCCTACACCTTTGTTGAGCGGTGCGCATGCGCAGGGACGCCTTCGAGGTCTGTCGAACATTACAGACACGCTTTTGTAGTTTATTTCTTGCGACTTCTAAAGTGAGCCAGTGCTCACTGTTTATTAAAAAAATTATAATTTTATATAGCATTGTACAATTTACGTGATATTTTTTGTTATGTGTTCTAACCATCACATGGTTATTACATGTCTTACAGAAAACTGAACACAGCCTAATTTTATGTCTGTACATGTTTCTTATTGCCAAAGACTTGCTGTGGTTAAAAAGCAACCATCGGTATATTTATTTTTTCTGAAGTGTTTTCTACACAAACATACAACAATGAATAACATTGTAGCATTAAGTTTTACGTACACGAAAACGAGCTTTTGAATGTAACACCAGCAACTTTTACTTGATGAGGCATTTTGTGTAATTATATCGCACGAAAGACCTGATTAAATATATTAGAAGTCTTAGAATCCAGTAAAAATTTTAATCCGACTATGACCGACAAAACAACAGTCGACACTGTAAACTGCATTGCCCAGCATTCAAAGCGGTGCCAACGTCATCACTGCGCGTCGGTTGTTGATTTTCGCCGCTGGAAAAATTGACGCGACTTGAGAAGGTTGAAATATTGTCAATTTCTATGAAAAATTCAGATATTTCTTAACATTTATGAGTTGTGTGTAGTAAAATAGTTTTTATATATGTAATTTTTGTTTCACTGTACAAAATATATAAAAAGTATTTTTATTCAGTTACAAATTGAAGTCTGTAACTTTAGCTTAAACAATACAGCAGTAAATTGTGGAATTATCATCCTGTCTGGAGTTCTATGTTTCAATGTTCACCATTATCTGGTATGAACTTTAACTTTTTTGTATTTTCAGCTTAACTGAAACATGTTTTTGCCAAGAGCCCTGAAAGTAAAGAGACCTGCCCAGGGACCACCAAGTCCTGCTCTAAATAAGAAAAGCAAGGCTGAACAAGAGGACTCTGGCAAAAGTAGTCCGCAGGCACCTGCACAAAGGGAGGGAGCACGTCGTGAAGACACAAAAACACAGGATGAAACAGATGCGTGTTTGTCAGAAGATGGATCCAAGTCTTCCTCAGAAGACGTGGAAGAAGAGGAGCCAGTTAAATCTTTCAAAAAGTGCCAGCGATGGCCTGGGCCAGGAGAGCCAGTCTGTGTGATGTGCGGCCGCTACGGGGAGTACATTTGTGATGCCACCGATAACGATGTTTGCAGCCTTGAATGCAAAGCCAACCATTTACAGAAAATGGGGAAAGGAACTGGGGCAGATGCATTTCATTTTAAGGATGATACAGCAGACAAAGGGACTCCTCAGCCTCAGCATCAAGCTGCGCACACTGGTGGGATAGGTGCAAACGAACCGCGCTATTTCTACAGGGAAGACCCATTCATATCAGGCCTGACTGATGAGCAGGTGGAGCGGATAAAACGGGAACTTGGCATAAAAACAGAAGGTAAAGGTGTCATGAGACCCATTGTTGAATTCGAACACTGTGGCTTTCCTTCTACGTTGAGCGGCAACCTGAAAAAGGCTGGTTACGAGGCACCCACACCGGTCCAAATGCAGATGGTGCCAATTGGCCTCACAGGCACGGATGTGATTGCCAGCGCCGACACAGGATCAGGGAAGACTGTAGCCTTTCTGCTGCCTGTGGTGGTGAGGGCACTGGAGGTACAGTAATGCCACTAATATTTTTTTTTATTTAACATTCATTCAGTTAAAAGTCATCCAATGAAACTGCCTGCTCATACATTCTATGAGGATTATTAGGCAATGATGTTCTCCCTCCCGACAGAAAAAAAACTTTAATGATCAGACGACTCATCCACTTGAGCAAAACATTTTTTACAAAAGCTCTTTTTTTAGAGATGTAATCTGTACCATCACTCCTATCTTTAGAAACAAGCTTGTGGTGTGAGCAGCCCTGTGGCTCTGATCTTGACCCCCACCAGGGAGCTGGCCATTCAGATAGAAAAACAGACCAAGGAGCTGGTGTTAGGACTCCCCAACATGAGAACTGCTCTCCTTGTGGGGGGCATGCCTCTCCCCCCACAGCTCCACCGCCTCAAGAGCAACATCAAGGTACAAGAAACATTTTTCCTCCTCATCCAAATATGCATTGTCTTGTTTTTTTTTTTTTTTCCTCCCTTCACCGTTATTGTGTTATTCTTCTTTTAATCCCGAGCAGATCATCATAGCTACGCCGGGGCGACTCATTGACATCCTGAAGCAGAAAGCTGTGCAGCTTGATAAAGTGAAGATTGTGGTGGTTGATGAGGTACGGCAAATTCATTTCTTTAGCCCTTGAAAACATTCCTGGCATTGAAAGTTGTGTCATCCTCTATTATTTTCCAAAATAAACATTAGGCTACGTGCATGTTCACTGTTTAGCTATAATTCAGATTATTTGGGGATTAAAGAAGCTCTTGGAACAGGAACCTCTCGGTGCATCTTGTAGGTTGACACCATGTTGAAGATGGGCTTCCAGCAGCAAGTGCTTGAGGTTCTGGAACAGGTCCCCAAAGATCGCCAGACTCTGCTGGCGTCGGCCACCATCCCGACGGGGACGGAGGAGCTGGCTGCTCGATTGGTCTGCGACCCCGTACGCATCGTGGTTGGTGAAAAGAATCAGCCCTGCGCCAACATCAGGCAGATCCTGCTGTGGGTAGAGGAACCCTCCAAGAAAAAGAAGCTGTTTGAGATTCTCAATGTAAGCAAAATTTTTTACCTATGAATTAGGAAGGGTGTAAAATTGGAGAAAACTATTATTTTTAGTTTCAAAAGCAAAATTTTAAACGACCCCCCCATTTTCTCCACTTTATATTAAGCTTTTTTTCCCCCCAGTAAGATCAAGTTAATCTTAAAGGGGACATATCATGCAAAATCCTCTTTTTAAGCTGTAAAAAGCATTTTGTTGTGTACTTGGAGTCTCTAAGAGTGCAGAAAATTTGAATGTAGTCGCTCCCGGTTCTGTTTTTTCTATTTTCTATGACGTTTTCTAAACTATTACATATAATTATTTGCAACCGAAGTGCCAAATAAGGTCTGAACTTACCAACTACGATTTCATTGTCTTCATTCTCCTCTGGCTCTGGCTCAGACTCTGGCTCCAACATGTAAGGCTGGATGGACAAGTCTTCCCTTGTTGGTGTATTTTAATCAATTTATAAATAAAAGGTTTCTGCACTGAAAGCATCAAAACGAGTTGATCCGAGCTGCACCTCAGAAAAGGGGTGAAAGAGGGGCTTGTGGAGTTACAATAAGAAGAATTCAGACCAAAGCATTGCAGTTTTGCTTTATATAGACTCCAACTGAATAACTAAGTCTAATGGAGCACTGCTAATAGCTTTGTATTCTTCATTTAGCAACAAAAGGAGTAAATTCCTAAAACTCGGAGCAACCAGTGCCCTTACACCACCATTATAGGCAGCATTTATTTGAGCTCTGGAGTCTTTGCCTCATTCAAAAATTCCAGCAAATGTCTCCAACAAGAAAAAGAGAAACATGCTTTAGTTAACTATGTGAAAAAAAGTAGTTTCAGACACTAGTTTAAAGACATGTACTGCACTTTTGATTTTTAATCAAGTTGTGCAAGGAAGCTGTTTTATTTCAGCACAAAGTGATAAATCAGGAAGAAAACAATCTGAAGTAATTCCTGCACAAGTTATACCAGGGTTTCTTTAACACTTATGTCATTTAGGTCTAAACTAAAGATAGATCTGTAATTTCAGACTGAAAGTATTAATTATTTATATTTCTGCTGAACAAAAATCCTAGCTTGCTTGTTTTTTAATGTTCTAGGACAGCAAACTGTTCCAGCCTCCAGTTGTGGTGTTTGTCGACTGTAAACTGGGTGCTGACCTGCTTTGTGAGGCGGTTGCCAAGGTGACGGGCCTCACTGCTGTGGCAATCCACTCTGACAAGAGCCAGATGGAACGCAACCGTATCCTCAAGGTGAGTCTGGTGTCTAGTAGAGTATGCAGAAGTGGGATGATTAAAAATGTGCCCATGTTAGTGGGAAACAGTGCAGCTCCCTCAATCAGAAAATGTATCACAAACAATCTGATTCTTATTACAGAGTATAGGGCCACACAACAAGATTTATTTTTAATCATTATTACGAGAATAAAGTCATAATATTATGAGAATAAAGTCACAATATTATGAAAATAAAGTCATAATCCTACATGACGTGTCCATTTTCCGTTCCTCGTTTCCTTTTTATTTTCCTCACATCTTCTGTGGACAGCCATGTTAATAAAATAGTCCAAGCATATTAAAATAGATTAATATGCTTGGACGAAAGCATATTAATCTAGTGACTTGGGTCACTAGATTAATATGCTTTCATCCAAATTAGCTATGTGCCGACTACATCTGTCAATGCCTGCTTCAGTTTATCATATTGTTTGCACAATTTCCAAGTCCTGCTACTGATAATTTGATGCTGATGTGCTAAAAGATTATTTATTTTAAGCAATACTAAAGAACAACTTGACAAGTTGCTCAATATTCCTCATTTTAATGCAGTGGTAACTGCATAAGGGTATAGTTTATGACTTTAGTTTTAGAATACTATGACTTTAACCTCATAATATTATGACTTTAATTTCATAATATTATGACTTTATTCTTATAAAATTATGACTTTAATCTCATAATATTACATTATTCTCATAAAATTATGACTTTAATCTCAATGTTACATTATTCTCATAATATTATGGCTTTAATCTCATAATGTTACAACTTTTTTATAATATTATGACTTTATTTTCATATGACTTTAATCTCGTAATATTATGACTTTAATCTTATAATATTATGACTTTAATCTTGTAATGTTACGACTTTAATCTCGTAATATTATGACTTTATTTTCAAATGACTTTAATCTCATAATATTATGACTTTAATCTCATAATATTATGACTTTAATCTC